AGACTTTTACGTCTATGCCGGATCGCAACCGATTTCCAGTAAGTCAGTTTGGTGAAAAAAAATATCAACAACTTTCTTTTGCTCTTATTTTATCCAGTACTTCACGATGTGAATCGTTCTTTTTGGCTTAGCTTACCTTCACACAATCGTACTCCCAATACTACGGAATTGCGGAATTTTGTTTTCTACTTTCTTTCTAGATCAGTCGGACGCTCTTTTTTGTTCTTCTTTTCTCGCTGAGACTCGTGTCTTTCGATAATTGAGGCGATAGAGCAAGATGAATTTCGTCCGATAGTCCGTCCGTCCAACTCTATGATCTTCGCAAGTGTCCCAAATGCATCGTTGATGTTTGCGCATGCCACACTTTTTTTTCAAGAACTCCAGTTTTATAAAATTGTATCGCTGTTTCTAGTTTCAATTAAATATGAAATTGAAAACACTTATTCAGAAAAGCTAAATACGTCAATTCTTACAGCGCCAGTGCAGAGTTCCTACTAGTCTCTTTTCTTCCTACAAAATTCATTGGATCTCCTAACGGTTTGCTGCTTCATCGTGGCTGGGAAGTGTTTCTGAGTGTCGTGCTCCAATGTACAACGGGGTTTCATTCCTCGGCGGGTCTTCTAAACTGAGAAGGAGTTCGGTTTTTCTACCAAGAAGTCCAGCTAAGAATAAACCAATACCAGAGTCCACCACCGTCCTGGTATCAAACTACTTGTCACATGGCGGTAAGTCACCCTCTGTTCCACAAGGGCTGCGACTGCCCGTGGTGGTGAAGACCGGGGCAGACTTTGGCTAGGTCGTCCTCAGGTCTCCAGGGAAACACAATGCCTAAACCAGCGGAATTTCGAAAAGTGGAGAGCATGTTGGGGTCCGCACATCTAGTGAGGACGAGTCGTCCGGGTCGTCCAAGTTTCTAAATAAAGTCTCTTAGAGCTCTCGCTGTTAAAAAAAACCACCCGCAATATCACAAATAAACCATTGAAGTTGAGGTTTTTTTTTGTCGAATGAGTGAAGTTTCTTTTTTAATGCTACCGCTTAACTTCACTTTCATTTAACTATGGCAGGTAAATTTACACTCATAGCTTCCTTTATTGGTCTACTGCCTCATCTCTCAACTTAGTGATCCTGGATGCCTGCCGTGTGCAGCAGAATGTTCCTCACCATTGCATTTTCAACCGAAATAGACCAAAATGAAATTAGGCATTTCCATTCAAAAGCTCATGTAACAATGAGCTAGTGCAGGCACAGTGACCGCTATAGTAGTGGAAGGAACGTGTAAAGTGGAAATTTACTCCACTTCATATAGGACGGCAGTTTCCTGTAGTGACGACTTGAGAACGTCTCGACATAGTTTTGATGGAATTCCACGTAAAGATCTTGTTTATTTGACTGGTATGTGAGTAGCTGCATATTGTCTGTGGAGGTAGTGCATTCAAGTATGGAGTAAGTAATGCAAATTACTACATGAATTTATAATAGATTCTTGTGACTGGTTCAACTTCCTTTCGGTTGTCATTTGTTTTCCACTTTATCACGTATTGCCTTCTCTTTTATGACATGGGTGTCTTTGCAACCACATATTAATAGGAATGATGTTCGTTGGTCTTAGAACTCAGTGACCGCTCTTCACTCGGCTGTTAGAGGTTGGTGGTAGCGGCTATTTTCTGGAACTGCCTTCTAATGGTAGACGGTAAGACGAAGATTTTTTATCCGAGGAAAAATATCATTGTGAAAGAGAAATAGTAAAGAATAAGCTAATAAACATGGAGCCGATTGAAGTCAATATTTCATGATATACAGTGGTTTTCAAAACAAGTTCATTACCACAGTTGAAACACTTTTCTTGCGGGAGGAGCTCGCAATATCATCAAGTTTGTGGTGAAGGTAGTGCTGGTGAATCAACAGTGCGAACTTGGTTTCGGAAATTCCAGTTTGGGGATTTCGACCTCGAAGTTAAGGAAGGTCGTGGACGTCCCAATGAACTTGACGACGACGAATTGAAGGCACAAGTGAAAGTAAACACTCGTAAGCGCAGGAACAATTTCCACTCATTTGTATCGCACAGGAAAGACGAAAAAAAACGCGAGAAGTGGGTGCCGCACGAATTAAATGACAATCAAAAAAGTCGCCGTTTTGAAGTGTCGTCTGCTGTTATTTTGCGCAACAAAAACCACTCTTTTCTTGAGTCAATTGTGACGCGGAACGAGAAGTGGGTTCTGTACGACTACTGGTGACATTCAGCTCAATCGCTGGATTGCGATCAGGCTCCACAGCACTTCCTAAAGCCGAAGTTTCATCAAGAAAGGTTATGGCGCCTTAATCTTTACTGCCTATTCTTTTTAACGGCAGGGTGCTTTGCGAAATATAACAGCTATAATGCTGAGATATTTGCAAAACTTCAAACCGCAGATGTCTGCGGTGGGAAACTAACGCGCTATTGTCCTTTCCGGGGAGAACTACTGAGAGACAGGTGAAATGAAGGACCCGCATGATGTGGTGGTGAACGCGTTGCTCCCTGGAAAGGACAATAGCGCGTTCGTTCCCCACCGCAGACACCTGTGGTCTGACGTTTTGCAAATATCTCAGCATTATAGTAGTTATGGTGACTGTTTGGTGGTCTGAAGCAGGTCTGGTTCATCACAGCTTTTTGAATCCGGGCGAAACGATTACGGAAGAGAAGTATTGCCAACAAATCAACGAAGTTCACTGTAAACTCCAACAACAACGACCGGAATTAGTCAACAGAAAAGAGCCAATCCTTCTCCATGACAACGTCCTGCCGCACGTCACGGAATCAGCGCCGGAGAAGTTGAACGAGTTGGGCTACGAAACATTATCTCATCTGCCATATTCAGCAAACCTTTCGCTTACCGATTATTACTTCTTCAACCACCTTGACAACTTCTTGCGCGAGAAACGCTTCACCAACCACGATAACGCAAAAAATGCCTTCAACGAATTCATCGCTTTCAGAACTCCAGAATTTTATGCAACTGGAAAAAATAACTTTTTAATTGTTGGAAATAATGTGCTGACTCTAATGATTTTTATTCCGATTAATAAAATTTACCACAAAAAAGTTGTGGCTATCTAAAGTTTGATTTCGAAACCGACTTTCCTTGAACCTCGGTATCACTAATCAATATGTATTCTTTCTTTGATGAGCTTACACGAGGTTGATAATGATATTTATTTTCGGCTAACGTTTCGACGTCTTCGTCTTCCTCAGAGCCGATGATCCGAGTCGATGGTCCTCGCTTGTTATTCGTCTCGACGTGGCAGTTTCGCCTTCGTGTTGAGTCAGGTCTTCTTCAGTGAGACATCTCCTCGAATCCCTCAATCTAAAGTTTGAATTTAGAATCGGACACTTAATATGTTACAACCTATTGTTCGCCCGAGAGGTCACCACATTACTACGTTTGGCGTGGCCTATTCAGTCATCTTGAGTGAAATGTTGTTTATGGAATTGTAAAAAATATGAAAAAAATACGCCCGCTATGAAAAATTTAGAAGAACCCAATAGATCGATTATTTAACCTGAAGGTTTTTTGTTTATCTGTTTATATCAATATATCATTACTAGCATTAGTTGTTCCTCCACTGCCCTTCTAAATTTTTCATAACGGGCGTATTTTTCTTTCATATTTTTTATAATTTCATAAACAACATTTCTGTCCAGTTTATTTTAACTTCTAGCTTTGTCTTACACCTATGAATGACCTACGAGTGACTTAGCCTTCAAATATGTTGCGCTTATTCAAGGGAACATTATTGGCGTGTATAGTTAGCCATCGTGCTACTGCTTTACCACTATTATTAGTTTTTGTGATTGTGGCATAGTTATAGGTTCAGCGTTCGCGTTTTAAACCTTGACATCTCCTTTCGTTTCTCATCACAGATTTAATAGGTTCGAAACAAGCTCTTGCCTCACTTTCAAGAATCAATTTAAACCTGAAAAGAATGATGAGCTGGGTTTTTTAAACCAAATTGCACATTTCCTTGATGTTTCAATCTGAAATATTTGTAAGGTAGTCGTTAGTTGTTGCGCAATCATAGGTCACTTTGTCCAATCGACTGCCACAACTCAATGAAGCAAATAAATTAGCACATTCAAGAGAAACAGTGTTTCCTATTTACGATATCACGACGGCTCAAACGCTTCGATTCTGTCAACACAGTTTTCGATGATCAACCACGTTTAAGAGATTCATTCACAGATGATGACAGTACCTTTTGAAACTGACCTGCTCGGAACTGGACCACCCCCAGATCCCTGCTCTCCTCCCTTTCACGAATTTGTCAGCAGTTGAGATCAGTAATGGTAACCTTTTGAAAGAGCAGAGTCATTGCAAGGATTGCTTTCGAGTAATCCACGACAATATCTGAGAATCACTATTTATTCCTTTGTCAGAAGCACCTAGGTTTTTGGTAAAGTGAGTACTGAGCCGTGTTTACTAATCATAGTTATACAATTCCATGGATTCTACGAGGATAATTTCCACTAAAATCACGGCTGCATGAGATGGATGGGCAGTGGAGGAACAACTAATGCTAGTAATGATATAAACTCTAGCCAAACGATTCCACACTGACGGATCTTGTATGTGATGCTTATTCTCAAGTTGACCGATCTCATCCATAATCACTGCACCAAAAAGTGTGCGTAAAACAACAACGTCTTCTGTTTCCAAGACAAGTCGTCACAAAAACGAGTCGACAATAATCTTCATACTCACTTTGCTGTTTTTCAGACCAATCGTCATTTACTTCGACAATTTTTTCAGACCGTACTTCGTACATTTCCGTATTATTAAACGAACAACTGTAGCTGTTTTAGCCTATTAATCCAGGAGCGTATCACCACCCTGTTTTGTTCTGCCTAAGATTTCGGATGGAATCACAAGGCTTTCTTTACAGTCCAATATACTCACTACTAGAAGGATATAGCGTTTAGGAGATTCCATGTCTTGATGAAACGCGTGTCATACTTGAGCAACCTGATCCCAACGATAACACTTACATTCATGCCAACAGAGTGAAATTGGATAAGGTAAAATTACTCTGAACTAAATTTACAAACGTGCCTACAATCCACTTTTACTGACTGTTACTAACAAAAATGAAAATTGGTTTTCATATAACGTCTCAAACAGCCTCGTCTGCTTGGATGAAGATTGTAACTTTTTGTCATTTTCTTTCAGGCAGAACGGGTCTATATTTTGACACAAGGACCTAAACAAAATTCAATTGAAGAATTTTGGCGTATGATATTCCAGGTGTCCCTATGCAACATTTATTGACAAGGAATGCTCTCGACTTTTGTTTCATGCTAGATGAAATGTTTAAGGAACAATGTGCTGGTGTAGTAATGCTCTGTAATTACTATGAAGATGGCATGCAAAAATGTGATGAGTTCTTTCCAACGGAAAACGGTGGTTACAAATATTACGGAAAGATGTTCGTGAACAACAAGAAGGTATGGTTTGTAGCATTTTCTTTGCTCCGAGGGCTCCGTTCAATAATATGCGCGCGGTCGCTTGTTCGATCTTGTTCCTCGCGAACCAAACCTCACATCCATCACAAGGGTCGGCAAATCTTCTTCCGATTCACAAAGAATGACGACTATCTGTGGTGGAAACGTGGGAACGCCCTAGACTTGCCATCTTGGGGCACAAAGGAGAATCTCGATCAGCATTCGAAGGCATTCATGAAGACGGTCAGAAAATCTTCAAGCTGTAGCGGAAGCACAGACAAATCCAAAGACCTTCGTGCATACGCGCGAAAATCGCTGAAGTATCAATCCTATGAGGCTGCAAGTTAAGAAAGTGCACGTTCGTCAATAATTGCCAAATATTTCGCAAATGATTTTGTTCGTATTTTTGAGCAAACGCGAGGTGTTATTGTTCTTTGTTCACGATTAAGCTGACGTTTCGGCGAATTTCGCCTTCTTCAGAGCCTGGAAAGGTCAAGTTGATAGCAACTCACTCGGCCAGACGCCTCCATAACCAAACAAAGAAACCCCAAACCAAGATTTCAATCACTTTGAACACAGCTTTGCACACTCACCGCTTTCTATGAGGTCTCCACTAAGTATGTCACGTAGAGACCAACCGCACATAAATCACGTGGAAATAATGTGCCCCTCACATCAGAAAAGCAGTTTTATATACTGCTCTATATCACGCGTGATAATGAGGCATTCTTCCCTGCGGTTCATTTTCGGATTTCTGGAATTAATCCAGAGTGCCTCGAGAGTTTTTCGCGCCTGTGTTCTTGATTCGCGTGCGAGGATCGTGACACATACTTCGAAGTCGTCCCCGTTATGTCTCTGGGTCCTATGCGTGCCTAGCGGGGTATTTGGTCTATTTTTGCCGGCTAGGTGTTCTTTCATGCGGA